ATAAAACGAATGCCCGCCGGAAGAGCAAAGACGGCAGGTCAGCGGCGGGCGCCCGCGGTAGAGTTCAGCACTCGAGTCCATGGAATTCCGACGGCTATTATTTCGGATCGAGACCCACGGTTCACCTCAAAGTTCTGGAAGAGTTTGCAGGAACTCTTGGAACCAAATTATCGTTCAGTACTGCCTTTCATCCCCAAACCGATGGCCAGTCGGAACGTACGATCAAAACCCTAGAGGACCTACTTCGAGCCTGTATACTCGACTTTGGAGGCAACTGGGAATCTCGGCTACCGTTGATCGAATTTGCGTATAATAATAGCTTCCAATCATCAATCGGAATGGCACCATATGAAGCACTTTACGGACGCAAGTGCCGATCTCCCCTCTACTGGGATGAAATTGGAGAGAGAAAACTTCTCGGGCCCGACCTGGTTCAACAAACGGTGAACCTAATTCGAGACATCCGCGAAAATATGCGAATTGCCCAAAACCGACAACAAAGCTACGCTAATAATAGAAGGCGAGATTTGGAATTCGAAGTCGGAAGTTTAGTATTCCTAAAAGTAGCCCCTTTTAAAGGAATTTTGCGATTCAGAAACCGAGGCAAACTATCTCCGCGGTATATCGGACCGTTCGAAATACTCGAAAGAATAGGCAGTCGCGCTTACCGTCTAGCACTTCCGCCAAATCTATCCCGAATCCATAACGTATTTCACGTCTCCATGCTCCGCAAATACATTTCCAGTCCTGATCACGTCCTCAAAACTGAACCTATTGAGCTAAATCCAAACCTTTCATACGAAGAAAAACCCCTCCGAATTCTAGACTCCAAAACCAAGACACTTCGAAACCGCGAGATACACCTAGTCAAAGTACAGTGGCACAACCACACCCCCGAAGAAGCTACATGGGAACGCGAATCAGAAATGAGAAGTCTCTATCCCGAATTATTCGGGACAGGTAACAAATTTTGGGGACAAAATTTTTTAAGGGGGGAAGATTGTAACACCCCACGTTTTCAAAACACGATAATTTCTAAACCATAAATCTCTAGCCACCTAAGTACTAAGTTTTACTAATAATAGGGCTATACATGAATTATTATGTGCCGAATTATTAGATATCGAATTTTATACGTGACCTTATGTGCCTATGTGTTTACGGGTAAATTATACATGCATGCTAGGACTTAGCATAATTAGCATAATACATAATATATATGTATGTATGTGTGCCGTATATGTGTGTGTATTTTAAGGGTGGATTATTAAATAATTATAAAATAAATAAATGATTATCCTAAGCCTAGCCTAAACCCTATATAATATTATATTCCCGTTCTTACCTATATGAGCTATAAAGCTCAGTAAGAAATCCGAGTAATATCGAACTTTGGAAATACGTTATACATAATATATAATATTATATTCCCGTTCTTACCCACGTTCCGTACAATAACACGAGGCAATCGGTCAAATCATATAACTCACGAAAACACATCATTCACACAAAATCACGTACTTATGCAAAATGACTAAAATGCCCTTTTTTGAAAATCATGAAAAACACATTTTTCGTTTTATCGGATCCGTGAAAGATTAATTTATGTACCTGAGTAATAAACCTGTTACGAGCCCGTTTTCACTAAGTGGGGATCAAACCACTATACACATCATCCTAGTTGGATACCGGCCCACTATATCCGAGTTGTTTATTACCCGATATTCCATTAATCTTTCAATTTAAAAACCTTTTAATGCAACTTTTCAAAATCATGTTTATGACCCACACATAACATCACAAATATTAATCAAGTGCCACAAAATTACACAAATATCACAATTTACCACATATTTATAATTTGGGCAAAAATCCCCAAATTCACACACATAAATACACAACCACACACGGCACACACCACATGCACAATCAGCACACACACACACACTCACACATATTCAACACACACACATGCAGCCAACATATTAAAACATCACCAATTAATAGCAAACCATGCTTGTAAAGCAAGCACCCATTTTTCACCTTTCATTTAATGAATTAATTACCACTTCTAGGTAATAATCCATTCCAATATATTCCAACGGCAATTAATCCACATCCATGCAGTAATTCAAGGTGCAAAATCTCAAGTTTCGTCATTCATGATTATTAATTCACAAACATGGAAATTAAAGCACAACACATAATACATGACATGCAAAATGATCTAATTTTGAAATAACAGCAAACCAATTCCAAAAATTACCAAATTAAATCCTAGAACTCCTAACTGACCCAAATTTCAGATTTTGAAATTATTTTGAATTTTCACAAAGTTTCGAATTTTCTTGAAATTAAAAACTAGAAAATTCCATTTTTCCTTTTAAAAATCCAAAACTCTCATGTGACCTTAATTACTTTGAAAACTTTGTAAAGAAAACTTTTTCCTCATTTAATACTTACTGGAAAAACAGATCCAAACTTCAAAAATGAGAGATTTTTCGGAAATTGCAGTTTTGACCCAAAAGTTTAAAGATTTGCACATGCAACCACATTAAAAGTTCAAAATCCACTTTTTCATGAAAAACATCTTTGAATCCAAAATTTTTGTTCAATAAATGCTGGAAAACAGTTTTGAAAACGAATTTAGGACTGACTTTTAAAAAATTACAGATTTGACCCGAAAATCTAAAGATTTACACATGCAACCCCAAAAATTTATTTTTCTTGCAAAACCTTTTTGAAATCCGAATTTTTTTTATGATTTTGGCCAATAAAATTTTTATACAAACAAAAGTGATGCATGCAAGAACAAGAAATCAACATTAAACACATATTTTCCATTTTTCCACAAAAGTACTAATTTCTTCGAAATCTTCCCCAATCTTTTAAGTAATTTTGAAAATCATTTTAATACTATTGATGCCATTTAATTGCAGCAAGAAATCGGAATTTCTTACCTTAATAACCGAAAGAAAAGTGAGGGAAAACCGAAGGAAAATGCTTCAAAGGTTGGTGCCAAGCTCTAGCCAAATTATTTCGATGGTGAAGGAGATGGTGTGGATCTTCAAGTGAGATGAATATTTTCTTTGGAGAATGGTGTTCTAGGCTTCTACAAGTCCATGATTAAATAGAGGACTTTCAAAATTATTTTTCATTTTCTTTGAAAAATAGGAGTTGATGTGGAAGAAGATGAAGAATGGAGGTGGTGGTGAGGTTTCGGTGGAATGGAGAGAGGATGACAAGCAAGGGGGTTAGGTGTTGGAAAAAGAGGGAAAAGGAAGAGTGTAAAACTCAACTAGGTGCCATGTGAAGTTTATTAAATAATAATTTAATTTGCCACCTCCTTTAACTAACAAACACACACACATACGGCACTTATATATATATATATATATATATATATATATATATATATATATATATATATATATATATATATATATATATATATATATATATATATATATATATATATATATATATATATATATATATATATATATATATATATATATATATATATATATATATATATATATATATATATATATATATATATATATATATATAATATTATATAATGAAGCAATACATGTATAATCCATGTATGTATGCATGTATGCTATCATATAAAGTCACATGTGTAGGGTATGTATATGGTAGTGTATATCACATTAATAAATCAATTATAGCATATTGTAGTCTAATTCACATAAGTCACATAAATTTGCTAGGAAATAATTCTACTAATTAAATATAGCACATAAATATTTCACATAATTAAATTCACGTAAGTCATATAAATATCATCACGTAATAATGTCACCTAAGGATTCTCGAGTTTAGGAATATTAATTTCGGGTTTTAGGGTTTTCGGGTTTTGGAAAGGCGGGGTGTTACAATTACTATGTTTTATCAAGGTGACATCATTTATAGCCATTATTAGGGATTAATCGAGTAGTATGATATATGTTCCTCCATTCCTCTAAAACATTCGCCGAAAATTCTTCCGAAGTCAACCCCGTTTTTAAGCCTTAGATCATGTGAAAAATATCGGTTCGCTAACCCTTGGAGTCTACCCATATATCCCAACACTTATATAATACCTTTAAAGCTTCCGTGCATGGCAAACCCTCTCGGTTTGCTATACGATTTCTAGGGGGTGTCACAAAATGCTCCCAACGCGATACCAGCACCTGCTCCACATGTGGAGCCACCTATGGCACCACCGCCATCGACTCCCTGGGGGCTTACCTCTGCTCCCAAAATATCTCGCTCGCCAAGGGTTATCGACTCCCTGGGGGTTTACATCGCCCCCAAAATATTTCGTTCGCCAAGGGTTATCGACTCCCTGGGGGTTCACAGTGCCCCCAAAACATTTCATTCGCCATGGGTCATCGACTCTCTGGGGGTCTACTTCCGCCCCCTCGAACGGTTCAGATAACCGAAGAGGACCTTCAGCATATGATCGCCGAACTTTCAACAAGATCAACTCCTACTAGCTCTTTTAACGGTTCAGATAACCGATAAGGACCTTCAGCGTATAATCGCGGAAGCTTCAACTTGTGCTACCACTAAAGCAGTGGCACCATACATCGTCATAGCAAGAGCCAACGCTCCTCCTCGTGAGGCCCCACTGGGTCCTCAACATGATCAATTTCTATTTACTTCTCGAACGGTTCAGATAACCGAAGAAGACCTTAAGCGTATGATCACGGAAGATTCAACTCGTGCTGCCACTGAATCAGTGGCACCATAAATCGCCAATGTTGGGCATCTCACCCAGTGGTTCGTGACCGCCTCATCCTAAATGGGGGGCTATCCCATCCTAAAGTTGGGCATCTCATCTCAAGGGTGGTACATCCACTTACCTTTCAACCCCAAGGGGTTTCACATCCCATCAAGTGTTTCACGTCCCTACATCAAAAACAGAAAAAAGGGTCTGACGCGCACGCGCGAACCAATGGCAACACCGTGCGCATCCACCTCAGACCATAGATCTCGAGCGCCTCATCCTACAGTGGGCAATTATCCCCATCCTAAGGTTGGGCATGACCCTTACCTCTCAACCCTAAGTGGGTTCACATCACACCTCAAGAGACGAGTAGAATCTCTCTACTCAAAAAATAAAACATCCCCAGAGGGGTGCACATCCCATCTCAAGGAACGAGGATAATATCCCTACTCAAAAAATAGAACATCCCCAAGGGGGTGAATATCAACCAAAAAAAAAAAAAAAGAAGTTGAAGAAAAAAGAAGAAGATGAAAAAACAGAAGAAAAAAGAAAAAGAAAAAAGAAGAAGATGAAAAAAGAGAAGAAGAAAGAAGAAGAAAAAATACAAGAACAAGAAGAAGAAAAAAGAGAGTAAAAGAAGAAGAAAGAAAGAAGAAAGAAGAAGAAGAAGAAAAAAGAGAATAAAAAATAAAAAGGGAGAAAGCAACCGAGCCGCGCGCGCGAGCCGAGCCAAGCCGCGCGCGCGGCTCCATTAAAAAAAAAAAAAAAAAAGGGAAAGGAGGCGCGCGTGCACAGCACGCGCGCGTGGCGTTCACGCGCCAGACGCGCGTGCGTGCACTGCATGCGCGCCAGCAGCAAAAAAAAAAAAAATTCTCTCACACGCGCGCGCGCCTTCCCATGCACGCGCGCGCGCCTCCCAAGACCACTTTGGAGCGCGCGCTCCCACCTAATTGGGCACAACTTTTGCTACTCTCCACCAAATTGCGCGTAGATTTCATCTCGCTTCACCAAATCGCGAGAGAATTTCAACGCGCTCCACCAAATTGCGCGAGCTCTTTAACGCATCTACCAAATTGCGTTCGCTATCAAATGGAAAATAAATAACAAATTTATTTCTCCACGCCATGCCAACGAATAAATAAACACTACAACACCGATCTACTCTCAACACGATCCGGTACCCTTTTCGACGTGGCTCCCACATCGTCTCGAGAGTGGGGGGCTTGCGAGACAACTCCCACGAGGAGCCAACTCGCTCAGTACTACCACCCGTTGCGAGGTAACTCCCACGAGGAGCCAACTCCCTCGGGTCTCAACACCAAAGCGAGACAACTCCCACAAGGAGACCACTCGCTCCATCCTACAACCCGTAGCGAGGCAACTCCCAAGAGGAGCCAACTCGCTCGGTACTACGAACCCGCAGTGAGACAACTCCCATGAGGAGCAAACTCACTCGGTTCTACAACCAGCAGCGAGACAACTCCCACGAGGAGCAAACTCGCTCTGTCCTACATCCCGCAGTGAGACAACTACCATGAGGAGCAAACTCGCTCTTTCTACATCCCGCAGTGAGACAACTCCCACGAGGAGACAACTTGCTCGGATCTACAACCCCTTGCGAGGAAAATCCCACGAGGAGACCACTCGCTCCGTACTACGAACCCGCAGCGAGACAACTCCCACGAGGAGTCAACTCGCTCGGTTACGAACCCTCAGCGAGATAACTCCCACGAGGAGCCAACTCCCACTGCAACCACCTCGCTCGATAATATTATTCATCGCGAGCAACTCCCATGAGGAGGCAACTCGCCCGAATTCACTATA